TCCTTGACCCAAAGCAATTTTAATATATCGTAGGATTCGTACCACAATATTCCAATGATTAACACACGGAGATTGCATGAATTGACTTACTACACTAACTGCGAAAGAAATGTCCTATCAGTAGGAGAACCAATTCAGTCAACATCAAAGTATCCCACTACTTGAGTATTACATTTGTCTTCGCACATCAATCCTTGACCCAAAGCATTTTTAATATATCGTAGAATTCGTACCACAACATTCCAATGATTAACACACGGAGATTGCATGAATTGACTTACTATACTAACTGCGAAAGAGATGTCTAGTCTAGTTAGTGTAAGGTAGTTGAGCTTATCAACTATTCTTTGATACCTGCCAGGATCAAAATACGACTCTCCTTGGTCTGGTAATAGTTTACTGTTTGGATTCATGGAAGTGTCAATAGGTTTGCAGTTTATCAAACCAATTTCTTCTAATATTTTTCTTGGTGAAACTATAATACCATTCTTTGATTGAGCTACCTCAAGACCAAGGAAGTATTAGAGCTTCGCAAGTCTTTGGTCTAAAAGTTTCTAAACAGATGCTCCTTCAACTAAGATATTCCGTCATGATCACTACCTGTAATAACTATATCATCAACATAAACTATCAAATAAATGCATCGACTAGATGGATTGGGTCTAAAGAAGACTGAATGATCAGCTTCACTCTGCGTTAGCCCAATCTTTTGCTCTATCGTACTGAACTTACCAAGCCAATTGGGGAGATTGTTTCAACTCATAAAGAGACCGTTTCAACTTACAAATAAGTCCTGACTTTCCATGAGCAATAAACCCAGGTGGTTGCTCTATGTCAATATCTTTTTCAAGGTCACTATGAAGGAGGGCATTCATAATGTCGATTTGATACAGTGGCCAATGTCCAATGGCTGCTATGGAAGAAAGAGACGGACAGAAGCCATTTTGGCTACTGAAGAGGTGTCACCTTAATCAAGACCATAAGTCCGAGTGTAACTTTTTGCAACAAGTCGATCTTTGAGGTGATCAATATGACCATTAAGGTCTATCTTGATAGTATAAACCCAACAACACCTAACAACTTTCTGTCCTTGGGGAAGACAAACCAACTCCCATGTACCACTGTGCTCAAGGGCATTCATCTCATTAATCATGGTTTGCCACCAACCAGAGTGTGAAAGGGCCTCACTTACACTGTTAGGAAGTTGAATAAAGAACAAGGAAGAAACAAAAGCATAATATGATGGAGACATTGACGTCAACAACACCTTTATCCCAAACTAATTGGGGTCTGTGGTACATGAACCCAAATGAAAGATACGAAGGGATTGAAAAAACTGTAAAGTGAAAAGAAGATAAATAAAAATATTAAATATATATATATATAAATATATAAAAGTAAAAATAGAAGGGGTGTAGGAAAAATAAAATAAAATAAATAGATAAAAAAAGAACGGGGAAGGGGAAAAGAAGAAGATGGGGGAGATAAAGAGGAAAATGATTAAAAAGGGACCATCTCGAATATAGGAATAACAACGGGTCTAACCCTCCACCATGCTTATAGCTTTTCTCCATTCCGTCCTAAGGTACACCATCCGCCAATCTATATCTCACTCTATTAAGTCTTGTTTTATTACCTTCCCCTAAGTGAGTTTCGGTCTACCTCTACCTTTTTTTTTGTGTCGAGCTCTTGGTAACAAACTTTTGTTCTTACAGGAGTATGCAGGGGCCTTCTCATTACGTCCCCAAACCATCTTAATCTATGTTCTCACATTTTTTTAGCCACCAGTACTACTCCTACCTTTCGTCGAATACCTTCATTTTTTATCTTATTCATCTTCGTATAACCACACATCGATCTTAACATCCTCATTTATGTTATTCTCATTTTATTCCCATGTTGCCTATGTGCTGGTCAACATTCAACTCCATATAACATTGCAGGCTTTAATGCTGTTTTATAGAATTTTCCTTTTAGGGAAATTTTGCGGTCACATAAAAATCCAGATGCATTACATCATTTTATTCACCCGGCTCTGCATTAAATCAGAGCAGGGTGAATACTAGCCCCTAAAAGGACTTATCAGAGCAGGACTTACCGTGATGGGGAATAAATGATGTGAATAAAATTGATCATATTATGCTTTTCTATCATTTAAATGGACTTATCAGAGCAGGACTTACCGTGATGGGGAATAAATGATGTGAATAAAATTGATCATATTATGCTTTTCTATCATTTAAATGGACTTATCAGAGCAGGACTTACCAAAATCCCGTGCATTTAAATCATTTTATTCTCCCTGCTCTGATTCTATCATTTATTCACCCCGTCTTTGGTCTCATCAATAAGCACAATATCATTTGCAAAAAGCATACACCATGACACTTTCTCTTGAATATCTTTTATTAGTTCTTCCATGATTAAGGCAAAGAGATAAGGACTTATCGTGATGGGGAAATAACTTGATGTTCCATTACAAACTTTCATACATATAGTAGCCCCATCATACATATCCTTGATTGCCTTTGCATACTTTGATAATACTTTTTTTTTCTCAAGAACCCACCATAAAATTTTTCTTGGGACCCTATCGTATGCTTTCTCAAGATCTATGAACACTATATGTAAATCCTTCTTTTTTTCTTGATATCTTTCCATTAATTGTCACTTCAAGAAAATGGCTTCCATGGTACATCTTCTTGCATACATCTTCCTGTACCTCTTCATTCCACCATCACGTTTTCTCTGTTTGAAATCCATTCCCTTTGCTTTCTTCTAACACCCTCCTTTGGAAACATATAGCCATCTTATTCCACATTTCATTTGCTTCTTCATTGAACTCCCATGGTCCTTCATGGAGCATTCTCTCCATCATCATCATATCAACATAATATGATAGAGACAAATGATGAAAAATTAACAAGTTATAAATAGGATAAGGGTTGCGAGTGGATCGAATATCTTTTCGAACGACAATAGGAAGATTATCAACAGACTCACCAGGGTCACATTGATTCGTTGTAAGTGAAACATTAGGAGCAGGACATGTTTCATGAGAGCTCATGGGTGCTCTTCTATTATAGGAATGAGAGGTCGCAGAGGTTGGATTGACTGAACTTGCTTGGATTTAATACGTGTAGATTCTAGGGGTTGGACCTACAAGGGAGGGGGACCAAAATATAGGACAGGTAAAACTTCAAAATTATGTTTGAGTCAGTAGGAGAAGTGAAGAAGGGTGTGTCTTCGAAAAATGTGACATTGTAATCTAGGAAAACCAAGGAAAACACATTTAATAGCACGAGGAGATAACTTGTCTCGACTTAGGGAAAGATCATAGACAAAACAAGTACATTCAAACACTTGAGGAGGAAGAGGGTATAAAGGACATTTGGGAACTAACAACCAAAAATGCTATTGATGGTGGATTGAGTGCTTGTTCGTCTCTTCTTAAAATATTATTAGAGTTCTCATCCTCTTCATTCCTTTTTCTTTTTCCATTATGTAAAGAATTAATTCAACCCAAAAGGTTAAGCTGATGAGAGAAGCTACATTAATGGTTTTATATATCTCTAATACGCTCCCTCACATAAGAGCCTACTGAGATTGAAGGGTGGACAATGCACAAGCCCAACTATCTGTGCTAAGAAAGAAATTCCACTAGAAAAAAAGTTGGGGGGGTTGAGGATCGAACTCAGGACACGATGCTTTGATACCATGTAAAGAACTAATTCAACCCAAAAGTTTAAGCTGATGAGTGAGGTTATATTAATGATTTTATATATCTCTAACAAACTAAACTCATCATTGTCTTCTTATGTGATTGATTTCTTCGTTAGTTTCTCTTGCAGTGAGGATATATTTACCCACATTTCTTTTTTCATTTCATGAAGAACTAATTTACAAGCTCCAACGTTCATTTTTGTTCCCACAAAATGATGTTTAATCTGTAAACCCCTCCAATTAAGTGGGTTTTGGGTTATTCTCAAAACAAGTGGATTGAATATTTCGGTGGGCTTTTTGTTTTTTGTTTTGTTTTTTGTGTGTGAATCTGCAATTTAACTTGGCAATCCTCAGCAAGCACAGCCGATTGTGATTTTGGAAGCGAGTTGGATTGACCATGGAGGAAAAACTCGTAGAATTGTGCGATTTTACGAGTTGAATCATGATTTTGACTACCATACTCACTAATGAGTCATGCCAATAATGAATTCTCCATGGCCATAAAGCACACTTCCTCAATTTCAATTTGAATATTTTGGGTCTTTGCTTGTGGTTTGGAGTTTCCAAATGTTATTCTTGTTGAAACATGGAGGAGAAGTTTTAGTTAATTGTCTATAAGGACATTTCCGCTGATGATTGTTCTAGCAAAATCTCTTCTTTCTTCGTCATGCAATATTTCAATCAGCACTTCATGCAGATGATCATTCTAACCATTTTGTTGAGTTACATTTCTAGCAATGTTCATCTCTCTAGTGTCTTTTTCCAGCAATGTTTTATGGAGTCTTGATTGTATGTTTTGGTTATTTTTCATATTTAAAAGGGTCATTTGTAACACCCTCAAAGCTTAGTAAGCTTTGGTTTGAGGGGGAATGTGAGAATATGTGAAAATATCTCATAAGATTTCGATTGTATCTTAGAATAGTTTATAGTATCTTATACAGTCCCTTGGGAATAGTTTCCTTTTTTCTTTATATTTCTTGATTTATTTTCTTATTTAAGTAAGATTTGGAGTTTAATGTTAATATAATAAGGATTAGTATTTTGTATCATCGAATCAATACCAATTTTATATTATTCGGTCTTTTTTTCTCTCTTTTTCTTTTTTCCGTACTAAAGTCCCTATAATTTCAACATAAAAATATGATTATAATCTTTGCCTCCAATTTCAGTTCAGTAGGTTCGAGGGGGAACTGCGGAAGTTGATTAGATGTAATAACAGCCCCCGGCAAGTTATCTGCATATTTCCTCGGTTACTGATAAAGATTTTGTTTTTGCAGAAAATGTTACCGAAGGGAAAGAGGGGAACAAGCAGCATTTTGAAGGTTGTTGGTTTAGGAACTCAAGAATTCAAGATAGCAAGTGATCTTAAGGAATTGTTTTTGGAATTTTCTGATCACCAAAAGCGGCTACACAAGAAGCTTGTCCTAGAGGAGAGAAGGATATGCGCAGCTAAGGTAAAAAAAAAGTAGGAATAGAGATGATTTAATTTACCATACTTGCTATGTACTCTTTTTACTGGTTTTGTATGCAATTGTGCAGAAATTGTAAATATTACTATTAGGAGTTTATGGACATGCTACTTTTAGGATATCTAAGTGCAGCGGGGCTGGTTTCTCTAAATATAAGCTGTTTAGTTATCACTCAAATTTTAACGATAAAAGGGGAAGGATATTGTGACAACCAAGTTGTGTTACTATCAAGTGACTACCAATCAATTTTACCGTTAGATTGATTATATTGATCCAACGGTTATATTTATTTCCATCTTTGTATGGTCATGATTCTCCATATTTAAAGTGAAAGCATTAAATATGAAGAATCATAACTATACAAAGGTGGAAATAAATATAAAGTATTAAATCTAAGAAATCATGACCATACAAAAATGGAAATAAATATAACCGTTGGATCAATATAATCGATCTAACGGTAAGATTGATTGGTAGTCACTTAGTAGTAACATAACTTGGTTGTCACAATATCATTCCCCCTTTAAAAAAAGGCAAACTCAGAATTGATTTATGTTTTTGTTTAACTTTCATAAAATTTAATATTTTATAGGAAATTAATGAAAATTTAACATCTGACCCTAACAAAACATTAAATTTTTATTTATCTTTTTTATTTATTTATTAAGTTGTTTCCTATTTTTGTAAGATAAAATTAAAAGTATTTAATTACTAAATCTGCTATCAAAATAACTTTATTTATTTATTTTTTTCTTTCTGTGAACTACATGTATATTTGCATATTTTAACATCAATTGCGCCCCAAAAAGAGAAAGAAAAAGATTCGAAAAATTCTCTAGTTAGGTCAAAAACATGTAGTAGTGGAGAGGAATTCTAGTGCTCGTCTCACCACTGACTCAGTGGGGACGTGTCAATCAAAATTACCCATTGCTTGTGATGTGTGTACAGAAAAGAAAAGAAAAATTAATCCAAATATCATTTTTTGAATGAAAAGACCACAAACTCCCGGAACATTAATAGTTTTTTTGTAGTGTCGACCGTAATTGTGTTAATTATGCATTTGCAAGGAGTTCCACCACTAGCAAGGAACATCTAAGTATTTGGTGTGCTTTACAATAAGTTTTCATAGATTTTTCATAAAGATCACCTGAGCGGTGGCTTTTTTGGTACTCGAGTGCTGTCTCTATTTTAAATCAAAACTTTTTCTGGAGTTCTGGCTATTAGGCAATGGAAACTGAGTAGCTTGGTGGTAGCAAACTTCTTGATGAGCACCTAGGGGGTGCAATGGTTGGGAAATTTCTATAAAATTTTACCAAACCTTTTGGCAATTAAGGTTGAAATTGAGTCCAGTTAACTCGCTAAATGCTAATTACTTTCACTAAAAACTCAATTAACTTAGCACTTGAGTTAGTGAGCTGATTTTGATCTGAGAATCTTTATTTATTAAATGAGTCAAACTATAATTTATATATATTTGTCTAATCTCATTGTCTTGTGAGATACACACTCAATTAGATCTTCTTAAATAGGTTGTGCTAGGCTATGTTTTAGTCAAAGACCAAGCCTATATGAAAATTTTGATTCTGTCTTGACTTACTAAGAAGATGTAGGTTAAATAATATGTCTGACTTGACCTATTTTAAAAAAATAAAAAACCTAATAACCTAGTCTTTCAAGCCTACTATAATTTCAATTGTAATAAATCAAATATGAATTGCTTAAGAAATCAAAACACAAGAATAAACAAGAACAACCTTCAGCATTGCACAGTATGGTGATAGGCTAGTCCCGTTAAAAACCCAATTATTCCTGGTGGTCCTCATAATCCAGTAGGCAATGCCAAAAGTTAAGTGCCAACGTTCATCATGCCTCCCGTATTTACAGTTTATGTAACGTCTCGTGTCGACCTGGTTTATTATCCCTTATTGTATCGTAATAGTACTAAATAAATAAGATGAACGCATAGCACAACGCATAAAGAATATACATTTATATAATGTGTCAATCACTAATATTAAAATAAATAAGGATCAAGCCACTAGGTTTTATCTACTAATGAGGGGTTTAGGTAGGTTGTATTAGGTTATGTGTTTAATTTCCACTTGTATCCAAAAAAATAAGGACCAACATTAATAGTAATAACAATCGGTGCTCAACCAGGAACATTGATCTAAATGCCATCTTTTGTAAAATGAAAAAATATTCTCAAATATCACGTAAACAATACATTTTCTCAAAGTGTCACGCGTCCAAACTCGCTACATTTGTTTGGCCACATGACACGTTTTTTAAGGCCACCAAACTCATTGTCAGGTGTAACGAGTTTAGTGGTCAAATCAGTCAGTCTGCAACACTGAAATAGGACATGTGGCACATTTAGGCAAACTTGCTGGGGCATGTAGGGATTTAGTTTGACACGTTAGCACAAAATTTTGATAATTTTATAATAAAATTTTGGAAAGTCATAACTTTTTGGCCTGGGTGTACAAATTATGTAAATTTTTTTTCACATAACTTTTTGATATCTATGCGCTGGCAAATCCCTAGATTTGGTCAAAAAGATTTTTCAAAAAATGCTTTCTTGTGCTCTGTTTGATATATTTTATTTCTGTGAATAATGTTATTTAATTTTTACTCTTATTTTCACTTTTTAACACTAAAAAATAATCCTTTCCGTGAATAGATTTTTAAAAGTTAAGTGGAATAAAAATATATCACTTGATTCGGACTACTAAGCCAAAATTTATTATCTTCCTAAATTTTACGGTAAAATTATCAAAATTTTATGCCACGTGTCAAATTAAATTTGCTCCCGCCTAAATGTGCCACGTGTCTTATTTCAGTATTATAAATTGACTGATTTGATCACCAGACTCGTTACACCTCACAACGAGTTTGGTGGCCTCAAAAAAAGTGTCACATGTGGATGTGTAACAATTGTTTTGAGAAAGTATGACATTTAAGTCAATGTTCCGTTCAACTACATAACTCAAAAGGAAATTTAACCATTATTAAAATATGACGACGGACAAGAGGAAACCGCGAAACGAACAGCTTATACATGCTACAAAACTAAGGACATTCTGCTCTTGGAAATTTCTAATTTGCAGATTATATAACTTTTAACTCAGAAATCACTTCCTTATCATATTCGTTCCTTCGTTTAGGAATTTATTTTATTTTAAACATAGAAAACTTTGGGTTATATGAAATTGGTGCTTTACGAGTTGTGGTTTCTTAGAAACCCGATTTTTGTCCAGATGTGACAAAGTGCATTATATCTAGATATTTGGTGTTAAGTATCCGGATATCTAAAGTCAGATAATTGAATTTTGATGGAAAGTTATTCCGTAGGATTTGACATTTAAAAGGGTAATCCAACATACTAAAATCCTCATGCTTGGTGACAATTACTGTGAGTCACGTGAGGGTTTCTTAGGTATAATGTCATAAAGTGGTTGTTACATACATTTGACCCGTTATGCCTCATCTCATCCCAGTTATACATATATACATAAATAGATTATTGTAAGAACCCGCACCGTTAATTAAGGAATTTAATTAATAAATTATGAGAAAATAGGAAATGATTTCATAATTGACCCTAATAATTATTATGAGGCTTTAACAATTATAGTAAGTGAGTAATAATGCTGAAAGTCGCTTTTCGGAAAAAAAAAGTGCATATACCGATTCTGCTAGTCGATATAAATGAGTACCGAAAAAGTATCCCGGAAAATTAATGTAAGTGAATGATAATTACTAAAATGATATATAGGACTTGTAAAACGAGTTTCAAGTCCAAATAATGAGAACTGGTGCTAGAAACCGGTACTGGCTTGGAAAAGCGCGTACCGGAAAGGTGCTCAGAAAATTATAAGAAAAATATGATAATTCTTGTAAAATTGAGTAGGTTAAGAATCCAGAGTTTGGGATTAAAATGCTAAGCGTAGCAATTAAAGTTAATAGTGGGTGATTAATGGTTAAACCGCTATAAATAGCCTTATGATTGGCACATAACCCTAGGACCTCAGTTTTTATGCGTGAGTGGCTGCTGAGTGTGGGTCTCCTTGCTGACTTGGTGTCTCCTTCACTTGCCTTCACCATTTCTTGAGCTTTGAGGCCATTTTCTTCACTTATTCTTCTCCTAAACACTTGTGGTGAGTGAGAGTGGTCTTTGGGAGTGTGTTGGTGGCATTTTTCTGAGTTGAGGGTGCTGACCTTGGTGGGTGGAGCTGCTGTTTTGGGTTGTTTGGGTGGTTGGAGTCTTGTTCTTGGCTTGTGAAGCTTCAAGAAGCTTCTTTGTGAAGAAAGGACCAACCTTTGTGTTGCATTTTCGTACACCTTATTTCCAGAACCTGTAGAGGCAGTGTGGTGAGCTCCATGAGCCATTGATCCTCTGTTTTGAGCTTTGGTGAGTTGTACCTACCTTGAGCTTGTGTTTTAATGGGTTAAAGGTGTGATCTTTGCATGCTTTAACGTAATTAAGTGTTAAAAATGGAACCTTGGAAGGATATCTTCCCGAAAAGCATTTTCTGCATTCTGTCGTGAAATATCTGGATATGTGCCCGAGGAATATCCGGATATGTGATATCCGGTTGTGAGTTTTGAGTATCCGGATATTAGATATCCGGATATGGGATTCTGGATATCCGGATATTGCATATCTGGATATGTCCAGTGAGATATCCGGATATTGCATATCCAAATATGGTCCCGAGGAATATCCGGATATTCTGGGATTTCGAAGAACAATAGCTGTGTTGTGTGTACAGTAGGCTATTGGGGGTTTGTGGACCCTAAATTGATGAAGTGGAACTTCTGTAATTAATGAACTAAGTCAGAATCGTTGTGATTAAGGACTTATGGCTTGGTATGGAGCCTTAAGACATAAAACGTAAGGAAAGACGTTGTCTTTAATTTATATGCTTGTGTCGCATTATTATTGATATAGTATTGGTCCATAACAGATTGTGAATCTGCTGTGTTTGGACTTTGAGCTGTGGACTCTTGGCCTTGGGTGTTAGCTTGCAAGGTAAGCTTTCGTGTCCTCAGTTTAGCCATATTGTGGTTCCACCATGTCCCATGGGGGTATGGTTGTATGCATGCTGTGTTACATGCTTTGAATTTTTGAAATGCTGTTGAGCTTTATGTGTAATGGCTTTTAATATGCATGTGTTGTTTCATCTTGACGGTAAGCCTGAGTATGTAGCTTCATACGATATGGTGATCCGGAGTGAATGCAAGTAGCGTCTTGCACTAGTGTGGGTATTTGGCGTATGTAAATCCTGCATTTCTCTGGCCAGTAGAATAGAATTGACACACATGACATGATTATCTGCTGCATTGCACTATTTTAGAACTGATGATGATATCTGCTTTTAAACTTATATTGCACATGTAAGTGAGCTTGGGGTGGAAGATCCTTGAGGACCCCTTGTCTTACTGAGATTTCTTGTTTAGAGATCTCACCCCACGTTTGGGGAATGCTTATTTCAGGTTCCGGTAGTTTGGTGACTGATGCCTCTAGCGGCAGGAGGCCAGAGCTTAGTTGATGATATTATGTTGTATTGCTGCCATGACTGGTTATGGATGCTGTTTATGTTTTTACGTTATTTATGCTTACGTTGTTGTTGAGACTGATGTTGGGCGTGTTGCCTTATTTGAGTGAGCATGGGGATTGTCCATGACCCTTTATGTTAGTGCTTTAGATTGGAGTTGTATAAACTGTTATATGGTCCGGTCTACGTTGTTGTAGTTCCGTGACTAGAGCCACACTTTTTTTATCTATGTTATGAGGTATATTCAGATAGCTGTTTTTTTGCAATTACGTACAGGCGTTGTTTTATTAATTGATTAATAAGCAAGTTGGTAATGATAATGACATCATAATTGAAAAGAAAAAGATATTCCGCATTTTTATTAAGCGCTGCTTAATACGATAGTATGATAACATTGCTGTATATATGCGGGGTGTTACAATTATCATGTACTATCATTTCATATGGAACTATTGCAAACTCAATCATTCAACTTGAGTGAACTAATATACTCATATCCAAATTTCTACAAAGCCTTTCATTTAACCATACCACTCTTTGTTTGGCAAATAGTTCATACTCCATTTCTATTAGCTGCACATTTTGCCATTTCACATTCCCAACATTCATGAAGACGAACATTTTAGATACACGACCAGAGAATAGTTATTTACATGCCACAATGCATGATCCTTTACAAAGGTCTTTCCAAATGAAATACAAGATCTTGAAACATCACACACAAACTGTCCTAGAAATAAGACATACATCTATACTTCCAAAATATATTTGAGCAAAATCAAGAGTTCACATATCAGCCCTTAATAACAAAAGTCAAATTTATGTCCCAAGTTCATTTGGAACCCTCTAGAGCGAGTTCTTTTCCTTTATTCATCCCTGCAAAATAACCCCATAAGAGGGGTGAGTTTATATCTCAATAAATTAGAGAATCCTAATAAACCCTTGGTTTATAAGGTTTTAAAGCATGAATTAGCTTAATTTGTGTGATTAAATGGATGGAAAAGAGGGTTAATGTCATGGTAAGTCCTAAATACAAGTTCTGAAGTTTGTGTTAAAAATTTATATTGTTCTTGTAGGAAAATGAATCTCAAGAAGCAAAAGAGAGAAGCAAAAAGATTCTGAAGAATTCGGAGGATTCAAGTGTTGAGCGCTAAAACGGCCAAAGCAAACGTTTTAGCGCGCTGCTGCAAAAGTGCTGGTGCTGAGCGCTAAAACGGCCAAAGCAAAGTTTTAGCGTGTTGATGTTCAACAAAATGCTAAAATTCCCTGGAAGTGTACGCTTTAGCGGTCATGATGAAATGTTTTAGCGCTGAGGACAGTTAAAAGCGGCTAGGCATCCTTCAAGTTGAGCGCTAAAACGTCCAACAAGGAGTATTTTAGCGTTTCAACGTTCGTGACAACAATTACAAAGGAGCGCGTTTTAGCGCTCGATCCGGCGTTTTAGCGCCTATGTCAGTTTGTGGATGTTATTTTAGTTTTGAACTTGTAAACTATAAAAGGGCAAGGGGCCTTCACACTTAGTATCTGATTTTTCATTCTCTGAATTTTAAAATTCCTTAGGTCTTAGTCTTGTATTAGTTTTAGTATACTTTATGTAATTGTGATTGAAGATTCAACAACATGACGATGGAGTTTGATCTTTCCTCTTCTCTTGTTATTTCTGTTTCTATGTCTGAGTAGAGTCCCTTGTAGTTGGATTTCAATGGAACTCAAGGATGAATTTATGTATGGTTGATTGAATATTATGATTATCTTTTATGTGATGGAATGAAAGTTTCTTTGTTAATTCTTTCCATTAAGGAAGTAATATAGAACAGGAATGTTTACATTTCTTCTGTAACTGGCAATTTCATCATCAGTGTTTGATGTGCATCTAGCATATGATGCTTTCTAACTTAAAAGAAGCAAGGAATTAATCATAAATGTGTGAAAATAAGTCATAAATACAAGGAATATTGATTATTCCTTCTCAATCATTCTATCACTCAAGTTATGTGTTTTAATAGCAGGAAACGCCACAAAATGGAGCAAAAACAGAGAAGTCAAATTTTCTAGCTGGCGCACGGTGCGCGGGAGGCGGCGCACGGTGCGCCATTTTATGAGTTTCTCCCCTGCATCCTGGCGCACGGTGCGTGGGAGGCGGCGCACGGTGTGCGGGACCTGGCGCACGGTGCGCCATTTCACAGTTTCCCTTCTGTTTTCCCAAGCACGGTGCGCCAGACCTGGCGCAAAGTGTGGGGGAGATATTTTTTAACTCCGATCTGATGCGAATTACTCAAAAAGGAGGCCCAATTAGTGAGGAATTGAAAGTAGGTTCTCCCAAAACCTAGTAAAAGGATCAGAAACAGAGGAAGGAAGAACTTTTGACAACAAGGAAGAGAAAAACAACAAAGAGAGGGATAATTCTTGGGAGCTTCTTGGAGTTTCAAAGATTCGATCGATCAAGACGGAAGATCTTCATATTCTTTCTTTTCTTTAGGTTCTTAATTTTATTTTCTTTTATGATTATTTTGTCAGACATGAACATGTCTGGCTAGTTCTATAATTGTGGTAAGGGTCACAACCCTTGATGTGAACCCCTTGTAGTTTGGTTGAAGTTTATGTTTATTTATTTAAATTGAATTTATCATGCCTTGTTCTTCATTACATAATTCTTTTGGAACTGATCAATCTATTAGGATTGCGAGGGTTAGGGTTTTCAATCGGGATATTGGAATTCTAATTCCTGACAAAGGGTAAGATAACTGTTCATGTACGCACTAGGGATAGGCTACATTAACCGTAAACGTTACAGATTCATTGATTCTAAGGGTTAACTTGAAAAGGGATTTCTAAGGGATTAGGATTCTAATAGAGTTAATAAGGTTAAAGTCACTAAGGAATTAGGGCTTAACTAATCATATAAAAGATGATGAATCATTTGATCAATTGAATAAGTAAACGTAAATGTAATCCAAGTTGCAAGGTGGGGATCGTAAAGGTGTTTGTTTCTCTTTACTGCAATATTTTCTCAACCTTTAATCTTTTGTTCTTGAATTCTAAAAGAACATTTTTAATCATTTATATTTTCTTGAATTGTTCTCATTTATTTCACAAATCACAATTGATCTCAAACTATTTTGGTTAATCCAACAAGAGAGGAATAATTATAATAACTTCGGTGCCTCAATCCTCGTGGAGACGATACTCTACTCATCATTTTATTACTTGGTACGATCGGTGCACTTGTCGATTTTGCGCAACAGTGTTCTATTATTCAGGAATGGAAATAGGACTCTGATGCAATCTTTAAAATCTCACTGATTAATGTATGTATTGAGAAGGGAATCACCAAGGGATTGGGATTTCTTGATTAATGTATCAACTAAGATAGTAAAGAATTACATCTTAGTGATAATAAGAAGATTGATTGACATCACATTGGAGATAATTCATGATTAGATCGATTCTTACATAAGTTTATGGTTGATGGATATTGATTTCCTTACTACTTGTTTTAAAATTGTAATTCATATGTTAGTTATTTTACCGATTTCAAATATAATTCAAATTATGGTGACAATTATCAATGCATTCAATGAATTCTTGTTTGATTCAACTTAATTATAAATGTTTAGTTGGTGTTTGAATACAAATGCTCGTGGGAACGATCTTTACTTATCATTTTATTACTTGTACGACTAGTACACTTGCTAAAGTCGCAATAAGTTTTTGGCGCCGTTGCCGGGGATTTGTTCTTTCAACATTGACAGACACCATTAATATTTGAGATTGATTTTTTTTTTCTCTTTTTATTTTCAGCAATTTATATTTATGTGTGAAGTTTTGTCAATTCCAATTCTGGTGTATGCGAGGTACTATTAATGCAAACTCTTTGTTGTTTGATCCAGAATTAGAAAGGACAGTTAGAAAGAACAAAAAGGCAGCAAGACAAAGGAAGTTACAAGAAATGGGTGAATCCAGTGTGACAATTCAAGAAGAAGTCATGGAAGAAAATCATAGGCCACCACCACAGAGGACACTGGGAGATTACATGACTCCCACTCTAATTCCACCGATTGGGAGTGTTGTTCGACCCAATGTGGAACCCAACAACTTTGAGTTGAAACTTGCATTAGTACAATTGGTGCAGAAAGAACAATTTGCTGGCACCAGTGCAGAAGACCCATATCTGCACATTGAGAATTTCTTACTTTTGAGCGATACTGTGAAGATCAATGGTGTGAATAGAGATGCTATCTTGTTAAGATTGTTCACTCATTCACTGAAGGATGATGCAAGAAGATGGTTACAATCATTACCTCAAGGAAGTATCACAACTTGGGATGATCTGCAGACTAAGTTTTTAGCTCGGTTCTTTTCAGCATCGAAAAAGGCGAAATTGAAGGATGAGATCACAGGGTTCAAACAAAAAGAATCAGAGTCTATCTATGAAGCTTGTGAAAGATTCAAAACACTCTTGAGGAAATATCCACAACATGGAATCAAAGTGTGGAATCAAGCAGCAATATTTCTCCAAGGGTTGACAACCAACACAAGAACATTGGTGAATGCCACAACTGGTGGTTCATTAACAACCAAGACTCCTCAGGAAGCCCTTGACATATTTGAATCTTTAGCATCTCAAGAATTTGACAATGCTTCAGTGAATGACAGAAGAACAGGAGTTATAAAACTTGATGGGTATGATGCTTTGTTAGCCAAGAATGATAAGATGATGCAAATGCAAAAACAACAACAACAGTTGGATGCTCTCACTAAGCAGCTATCCTCTCAAAATGTTGCTTCTGTGGACACTAATTCTGTGTGTGCTATTTGTGGAAAAGGCCATGTTACAGAAGATTGTGATTATGGGGGACCTGCAGAACAAGCAGGAGTGAATAGGGTATGGTATGATCAGAGGAACCAGAACAACCAGGGGCAAAATTTGTATGTTCCACCATGGAAGAATAGAAATCAACACCCAGGGTTCAGTTATAGTTCTAATCATCAGTTGAATCCTCCACTGCATCCTCCTCCACCACATTCGTCACAACAAGGTGATACCTCTGCATGGGAGAAAGCTTTTGCACAGTTATCTAAGACTACTACAAAATATATTCAGGGTTCAAATTCTTTCAGAGAAGAAACTTATGCATTCATGCAAGAGACAAAAACATCATTCAGGAACCAGGAAGCATCCATCCGAAATTTGGAGACCCAAATTGGTCAGTTGTAAAGACAAATATCTGAGAGATCACAGGGAAAGTTCCCTGGTGATACACTGGTGAATCCAAAGGAGCATTGCAAATCCATTACTACAAGAAGTGGGCTTGTGCTTCAACCGGTTAAGAAGAAAGTGGAAGAAAAGAAAGAGGAGCAAGAAGTTGTTGTTGAAGATGATGAAGTTGAAAATGATGAAAAAGAAAAAGTTAAGGAAGATAAGAAAGAAGATGAAGTAGTTGTTGAAAATAATTCTTCACCCAAGAAGTTGATGAAGTGGGAGAAGAAGAAAATGACTGACAAGCAAGACAAGCCAATTAATCTATCTCCACATGCAAAAGTTCCTTATCCTCAGAGGTTGAAGCAAGAAATTCAGAAACAACATTATGCAAGGTTTCTGGATATTTTCAAGAAACTACAGATCAACATTCCATTTGCTGAAGCCTTGGAAAACATGCCCCACTATGCAAAACTTATTAAGGATCTTTTGTCTAAAAAGATGAAGTTGAAAGATGGTGAGACTGTGGCTTTAACGGAGGAATGTAGCGCCCTTATTCAAAAGAAGCTTCCTCCAAAGTTAAAATACCCAGGTAGTTTCAGCATTCCTATTACTATTGGAAATGTGGAAGTAGAAAAAGCACTTTGTGACTTGGGGACAAGTATAAATTTGATGCCATTATCCATCTGTAGAGCTTTGGGGATTAACAAGTTGAAAACCACTAATGTTATTCTACATCTAGCAGATAGATCAATTAAGAGACCAGAAGGGGTAGTAGAAGATGTTTTGGATAAGGTGGATAAATTCATTTTCCCTGTAGATTTTGTAATTCTAGATATGGAAGAAGAGGATACTAAAAGTCCTCTACTCCTAGGGAGACCATTCTTAGCCACTGCAAGATCTCTAATTGATGTTGACCAAGGAAAGTTGATGTTAAGGGTGAATGAAGAAACAGTCACCATTGATGTGTTTGAAGCTATTAAACATTCTGTTGATGTGGAGGATTGTTTCAAAGTAGATATCATACAGGAGGCTATGGAAGAAGTGATAGAAGAAGAAAACTCTTTACTTGAGGAAGACAAACTTAAGGAGGAAACAAGTGTAGAATACTATAAGGAAGAACCGAAAATAGAAGAGTTAGAAAAGAAAGTAGATGACATTCCTAAGGGAGCACCCAAGGTGGAACTTAAAGAACTTCCTTCAAATCTCAAGTATGTGTTTCTTGGGGATGACCAAACCTACCCAGTCATCATCAGTGCTTTGTTGTCTAAAGGAGAGGAAGTAAAGTTGGTTGAAGTGCTTAAAAAGAACAAGATAGCCATGGGATGGTCATTTTCAGACCTCAAGGGTATTAACCCCTCTTCCTGCACTCATAAAATATTGATGGAAGAGGAGGTTAAATCAGTGAGGCAACCACAAAGAAGACTCAATCCTACTATGAAGGAGGTAGTGAGGAAGGAAGTTGTGAAATTGTTTGATGCTGGAATGATCTACCCTATTTCAGATAGTGCTTGGGTGAGTCCAGTGCAGACAGTGCCCAAGAAAGGAGGAATGACTGTTGTGAGGAATGAGAATAATGAATTAATTCCCACAAGAACAGCCACTGGCTGGACCGGAATGACCATTTACCTATTCCATTCCTAGATCAAATGCTAGAGAGATTGGCAGGACATGTTTTCTACTGCTTTTTAGACGGATACTCAGGCTACAATCAGATAGCTGTGGCTCCCGAAGATCAGGAGAAAACTGTATTCACTTGCCCCTATGGAATCTTTGCATACTGGAGCATGCCTTTCGGCTTATGCAATGCACCTGCGACTTTTCAAGGTGCATGCTTTCCATATTCTCTGACATGGTAGAAAAATGCATTGAAATTTTTATGGATGATTTTTCTGTATTTGGTCCTACTTTTGATGCATGTCTAGAAATTTTGGATTGTGTTTTAAAAAGATGCCAAGATAGTAATCCTGTATTGAATTGGGAAAAGTGTCACTTCATGGTGACAGAAGGCATTGTTTTAGGACACAAGGTGTCAAGAAGAGGAATTGAAGTGGATAAAGCCAAAATCTCTGTTATTGAGAAACTTTCCCCTCCCATTAATGTCAAAGGTG